TTAAGTTTAAGGTTACACCCATGCTATAAAAGCACATCATGAGATCTTAAATCCAAACTATCTCAACTCTTGAACCATTTTGGAAAATTTGTTCCTACCCCCCTCCCTCCCCCCCCTTTTCTAGAGCTTTGAGAGAAAATTGAAGAGAGAGAGACCCCAATTTTTTTTTTCACAAAAGGATTTTAGAGTTCTATTGATGGTGATCTTGATGGTGGTCCTCCTTTCTTATGCTTAAGTCCTTAGTGTACATTTATCAAGGTAAACTCCATTGTTTTTTTTTTCTCATAAGTTCATATTCGTGGCATCTATAGTTGCTGGAGTTTTGAATTTACGAAGGTTTCATTGATCTTAGAATCCCCATTTGATCATCTTTTTCATCATACTTATTCATAGTATGGTCCTTCATGAGTTATAGCCTATATGCATGAGAATCCATGATCATGCATAGTATCCATTGATTCCTTTGCTTCAAATCCATCAAATAATTTAGTCTCATTGTGTCACTAAATTTTGAAAAGTTTTTCGTTATGTTTTTACCTATGGGGGCTCATAATTTTTTCATACAAGACTGTTTTGGTGGTCTCGTACCACAATGTGTAGTTTGGCCATAACTCTCTTACTCTTTATCCGATTCGATTCAAACCTTTTGCATTATGTTTTGGATGATAATTCCAGTGTGTTGATAGCTTAAGAAGTGATTTTTAGGTGTGTAATTACATCCCATTTGGATTAGATCCTCTTGTGAGTTGAACCACTTTTGTACAATCCGAAAGGACAAAATTAAGTCCTTATAGGGCTCGATTGCGTGACCACGACACAAGGGGTTCGAAGCATAGCTTCCTGATTTTCATTTAGCATTATAATTACCTGTTTAAGTTATTTTATTTATTATAAATTTTTTTTGATTAGTTGTATGTTGCATTTAAGCTTTGGGACATAGTTTATGTAATGTATGCTATGAAAGTGTAATTCATAAGCTAGTCTTGCTTTATATGCAATTGCCCCAAATTATTTTTTTACATGTATTCCAATGCATCGTGCATACATCCCCATGCATGCACACACTCTTATGTGCATGAATCCCCATGAAAACTCGCCCACCTTAATGCACATGATTACATCATGCATTCCCCCACACAATGATTACACACATGCACTCTCTCCTCTCACATGCCCTCTCTATTCATGCATGCCTTCTCTCTCCTCATGCATGATCACTTGAGTGCCATGTGACACATGCATGTTTCCAGCCCATCATTGTGTTTCCCATCGATGCTCATGCATGTCTTCTCTCTCCTCATGCATGATCATTAAGTGCCATGTGACACATGCGTACTTTCACTCCCATCATTATGTTCCTCATGCATGCTCTCTCTCTCCTCATGCATGATCACTTGAGTGCCATATGGCACATGCATGCTTCCACCCCCCATGCTTATATATACCCCCCCATCCACTCATAAATTTGGCCTCTCTCTCTCTCTCTCCTCACCTCTTCACTCCCTCACTTGTGCCTCTTTCCCCCTTGTTCTTCTTCTTCTCCCTTATCCATTTAAACCCCTCCAAGCCCATCAACCCCCTCCAAGCCTTAAACCTATGAAGCTTGAACCGAATTCACTTGAAGCTTGGCAATCGAAGTAGAGCTTATAGAATATTTCATCTTGGGGATTTCGATTGGAATCGATAAGTAGATTTAGTTTTCATGGTTTCAAGCTTATGTAAATGCATGTCTCCTTGCCTATTTCTAATATGAAGTTCAAGTGTGTGTGTGTGTGTGTGTGTGTGTGAGTGTGGGTGCATGCTTACTAAAAATTCTATTAAAGGGTATGTTGATTTCCATAATTGTGGTCCCTGTTTGAGAGATCGTTAGGGTACCTTAAATCTTACCTTAGACCATGAATTTTAGTGGGTCAGTAGAATGTTGAATGTATTTCCACATGGAAAATATTCCTTGTTAATATCTTCTGCAATTTGAAAGCTATTAACTATTTGTTGATGCATGCCAGATCTGTGAAATAAAAATCCAGGGATTTAACATGTTTTTGTGTGACGATTTTGACTAACCAAAATTTACTAAAATAAGAGGAAACTACTTTGAAAAGTTAGATAAATGAATTTATTCAAAATTGGTTTTAGACTCATGATAAAATTCCTTATGGTTTGAAAGTTATGATCATTTTTCTTGTAGGGTGTCACCCTAGATTTTCTGTTGTGAAAAACATAAATTTCCTTCGGGAAAATTAAATAGTTTAACAAACTTTATACCAATATATAGGGTTACTTCCTATATAAAAGTTGTGTTTTATGAGTTTAGATTATCAAGAAATTAGTTGCAGGTTTAAATGATTTTTAGATTTAATGATATGCCCTTAAAGGAGGACGATGTTCCTCCTGAAAAACCAGAAATGTAATATAGTGATGTCTATTGCATTGATAGATAGCATGATATTGACATGATAATGCCTCTTAAATTGATAAACACGATAATATGACATACTAATGTCTATTGATTTAATATATAGTATGATATTGACATGATAATGTCCCTCCAACTGATAAGCATGATAATATGACAGTGATATCTATTGCATTGGTATATAGCATGATATTGACATGATAATGTTTCTTGAGCTGATAAGTTTGATAATATGATATAGTGATATTTCTTACGATTGTACGTATAACATGCTCTGGACATGTTGAAGTTAAGTTTCTTGTGATTATATGTATGACATCCTTTTGATAAGATATGTGTGCATGGTAACATGCTTTTGATAAGATATATGTGCATGGCAACGTGCTTTTGATAAGATTTGTGTGCATGATAACATGCTTTTGATAAGATATGTGTGCATGATAACATGGTTTTAATAAGATATATGTGTATGGTAACATGCTTTGGTTTAGATGTGTGTATGTTAACTTGCTTGTGATAAGATATGTACGTATGGTAACATACTTCTGATAAGATATGTGTGCATGGTAACATGCTTTTGATAAGATATATATGCATGGTAACATGCTTTCGATAAGATATGAGTTCATGGTAACATGCTTTTGATAAGATATATGTGCATGGTAACATACTTTCGATAAGATATGTGTACATGGTAACATGCTTTTGATAAGATATATGTGTATGGTAACGTGCTTCTGATAAGTTATATGTGCATAGTAACATGCTTCTGATAAGATATGTGCGCATATTAACATGCTTCTAATAAGATATGTGTGCATGGTAACATGCTTTTGATAAGATTTGTACGCATGGTAACATGATTTCGATAAGATATAGGCGCATGGAGACATGCCTTTGTTATGATCTGATGAGATATTTGTGCCTACAATTGTGATTTTTCCCTGCTCTCTATGATAGGATGAGAGTTAGGAGTGTGTGTGTTTGGGTGGTCTCTCCCGAAAAACTTATGTGAGGCATTACTCATTGGGACCCCTTTGGTAGTGTAACGCTCTCTCATCAGAAGGGCACATGAGAGGGTCATGTCATGCAATGCCAGTGCCTATCAAAAGCCCCAAAGCACATTGGGGACCGTGTGCGTGTGTGAGGCACTACGCAACAGATATACCCGTTGGTTGTGCTTCTCTCCTGGTTGTGATGGTAGAGGCTCTACATATCAAGTTTTGATTGGCCTGATGGGTAGGGCTTCTACTTCAGGAGTTAGTTGGTATCTCTTGATATTGATTATGCTTGTTACAAGCATGCCTAAATGCTTTGATCTGCTATGACAGCCATGCCTGAATGATTTGATCGACTTTTTACCACAATCATATCTGATGAATCTGATTAGTTATTACTCTACCATGAAACAAATCATTCATGACAAGTTTGTTTAAATATGAATTTGACACATGACTCTATGTTTTGTAAGACTTGCATAAAACCCTGATTATTGTCATGACATAATATTCGTAAGCATGAAAGCATAGAACCTAGATCTTATTTACTGGGCTTTACAGCTCACTCTATTAATTTTTTCTCCATGTAGAGTGATAGCCAGCATGATTGGAGTGGTGTGCCCACTCCATTTTACAGTATATATTTTGGTTAGCAGTCTGGCCATATAGTCCATTTTGATTTGACAATATGTCTTGATATTGGGCCTTTTGTGCCTTGGACCTATATGTACTATTTTGGACTATTATATGTATTTTTGGGACTTGTTGTCCAGCGGACTATGGTTATGTATATTGTGTTTCCTTTTTTGTTTTTCTTTTCTTTTCTGACTGGCTTTGATACTGGAAATTCTTTCTTTTTCAAAGTGTTGAGTGCACTCCAACCCGAGTGGCACTCACTACCTGTGGTTGTGGCCCCACGCCCTATGGTCCTCTGGTGAGCCTGGGCCTAGCCCTCTGTGGGTCTGGCAGGGATGGTAGGGAGCAGGGTCGTGACAAGTAATTATGGTATCAGAGCAGCCGGGATAGGATTCTTGGCCTAGAGTCTTAGAAGAGCCCTTATGGTGGCATTGAGATAGGTTAGTAACTAACGTCTAGGTGTTCCTGTTTCAGGTAAAGATGCCGAGGGCTCATGCCAACAATTCGAGCACGAGTAATGGGAACACCGAGGTTTTCGGGGAATTATTTAGAACGCTCGAGGCCATGGCTCAAGTCATCAAGGATTGTATGCCTGCCTCGGCTACCCCTGCCCCAGACCTTGTAGATGGTGGGTTAATTGAAAGATTCAAGAGACTGCACCACCAGCATCCTCGGGGAATAGAGGAGTAGAAAAGGATGATATATTGAGGAGGCAGGTAGAGAAGACTTTCGAAGTCTTACAATGTTCGGACAAGCAAAACGTAAGGTTGGGGACTTTCATGTTGGAAGGGGACGCTAAGCACTAGAGGAGTTCGGTGAAACAGTCCTGGGTGGAGCCAGGGACTGCGACCACCTGGAAGAACTTCCTAGTGGCATTCAACGAGAATTATTTCCCCTACTCCGTCCGAGAGAGGAGGGAAGTTGAATTCATCAAGCTGCAACAAGGGAAGATGTCAGTAGAGCAGTATGCAACCACGTTTGAGGAGCTCTCCTGGTATACCCCACATATTATCAACACAGAGGCACATAAGACAAGCAAATTTGAGAGGGGCCTCAGATCAGATATCCGGGGGAGAGTGATGTTAGCCAATTTTATGTCGTACTCCCCATTGATGGACCTAACCATGAAGATTGAGAAGGATTGTGAGGAGCATCGGCTAAGGAAGAAAAGAAGAGTAAGGTCCCCACCATCTGGCAATTTTGGGAGGAAGGCTCGGCCACCACCTAAGAGATACTCTAGGGGAAAGACTAAGCAGGGCAATGTGAAGACCCATAAGACTTTCCCAGGTGATGTGAGGGAGAACCAGTGCCCGGCATGCTCATACTTTGGGATGAGCAACCATGTTGCAACTGAGTGCTACAAGAAGACGAGAGGATGTTTCAGATGTGGGAAGCCTGTCCACTTAATCAAGGACTGCCCTATGATGAAGCTGGAGAACATACTGAAGACTCAGGGTTTGGTGTTCGCACTCATGGAGCAAGTGGCTAAGGCTTCTACCTCAGTAATCCGAGGTATACTCTTTGTTTGTGGTAGAGAGTCTAGGATTCTGATAGACCCTGGTTCTTCTCATTCTTTTGTTGCACCTTATGTTGTATGTCATCTAAATGTTGAACCTTCACCTCTTGACTATACTTTAGAAGTGTGCACGCCTATGGGGGACTCTATGGTGACTGATACGGTGTAGAAACAGTGTGGGGTATTGCTTGAGGGGTGTGTCCTACCTATAGACTTGATACTCTTAGATATTCAAGACTTTGATGTTATTTTGAGCATGGACTGGTTGTTCACACACCATGCCACTATTGATTGTTATGATAAAAATTTGACCTTTAGAACCCCTAACTAGCCTGAGCTGCACTTTGTTGGTATCAAAGATGCTTCCCCTATGCACTTTATTTCAACTCTTCGGCTCATCGTCTTCTGGCTAAAAGCTGCGTTGGGTACTTAGCCTATGTGGTAGAAAATCGAGACGCCCAATCCAAGCTAGAGGAGGTCCCAGTAGTAAGGGAGTACCTCGAAGTTTTCCCAAGGAGTTGTCCTCTTTGCCCCCAGTAAGGAAGAAAGAGTTTGAGATAGACTTGGCCCCTGGCTTTGATCCCATCTCTAAGGCCCCATATCGGATGGCCCTAGCAGAATTGAAAGAGCTGAAAGTGAAATTGCATGAGCCATTAAAGAAGGGGTTCATTCGACTCAATGTGTCTCCTTGTGGTGCATCGGTCCTTTTTGTGAAGAAGAAGGATGGGTCCATGAGGCTTTGCATCGATTATAGGTAGTTGAATAAAGTAACAGTGAAAAACAAGTACACTCTGCCTAGGGATGATGACCTCTTTAACCAGCTTTAAGGGGCTCAAGTGTTCTCTAAGATTGACCTCCGAAAGGAGGGAGATGTTCCCAAGACTGCACTCAGAACCCGATATGGTGATGACGTTCGGGTTTACCAATGCCCCGGCTGTTTTCATGGACCTGATGAATAGGATATTCAGACCCTTCTTGGATAGATTTGTGGTGGTCTTCATTGATGATATTTTGGTGTATTCGAAGAGCAAAGATGTCACGATCTCGCACTTTGTTGCCCTCCGATAAGGTACGGTAGGGGTCAGCGGGTGGGGTCATGACGCAAGAGGAGCATGAGCAGCACCTGAGAGTAGTCCTTCAAACTCTAAGGTCAGAAAAGTTGTATGCCAAGTTGAGCAAGTGTAAGTTCTGGCTTCCTAGTGTCGCCTTTCTTGGGCACATTGTTTCTAAGGACAGAGTCGTAATTGACCCTTCTAAGATTGAAGCCGTGATCAAGTGGGGAAGATCGACAAACATTACAAAGGTCAGTAGTTTTCTGGAGTTAGTAGGATATTACAGGCATTTTATAGAAGGATTTTCAAAGATAGAACTCCCTCTAACTCGACTGAGCCAGAAGAATATGAAGTTTGTGTGGTCAGATGACTGTGATAAGAGCTTCCAGAACTAAAGAAGGGGTTGACCATGGCTCTGATACTGACCTTACCCAAAAGAAATTAGGACTTTACAATTTACTCTGCTCCCGTTATTCTATACATCTTGAAAATACTAAGATGTACCGGGGCCTGAAGAAAACCTTCTCGTGGAATGACATGAAAAGGGAGGTGGCACTATTTGTATCTAAGTTCTTAACATGCCAACAAGTGAAAGCTTAACATCAGAAGCATGTTAGGTTATTGCAGCCCTTACCCATGCCAGAATGTAAATGAGAGCACATTTCTAGAGATTTTGTCTCCGGCTTTCCTAGAACGATTTCAGGACATGATAACATTTGGGTCATTGTGGACTGGCTGACCAAAGCTGCGCACTTCTTGTCGATTCGTATGACCTACACTTTGGACCGACTGACCCAGTTGTACATCAAGGAGATAGTGAGGTTGCATGGAGTTCCATTCAGTATTGTGTCTGATAGGGACACTCGATTTACCTCTAGATTTTACATTAGTCTTTAGTCAGCCCTGGTGACGAGACTCACCTTTAGCACTCCCTTTCGCCCCAAGACTGATGGGTAATCAGAGTGGACCATCCAGACCTTGGAAGATATGTTAAGGGGTTGTGTCACTGACATTATAGGAAGCTGGGATGACCATTTACCCCTGATTGAGTTTGCCTATAATAATAGCTTACAAGCCAGTAATCAGGTGACACCATTTGAAGCCCTATATGGAAGGAAGTGCAGGTCTCCTATTTGTTGGGATGATATTGGTGAAAGAAGGCTTTTGGGGCCAAAAATCATCTAGGTGATCTCAGATAAGATATCATTGATCCGATAGAAGCTCAGGACAGCTCAGAGTCGACAGAGAAGGAAGTCAAAGTCGATTCCGATTCTGGGAAAAAGTCTACTGGAATTTGTGAATTAAACAGACAAAGAGCATGGAAGTGTCGCTCCGAAAACCTCGAGTCTTCAATCTCAAGGGACCTACTAAAACAAAATCAGTTATGCCTTGTGCAAGGCACAGAGGAACTTGAGGTGAGCGACACTGTTCATTGTTGCGTCATCAAGGTAGAGGAAAATGGACTCACTTCACCCTATCCGCGACCCCAAGGCTGTCACAAGCAAGCAGAAGAGCTATGGCCCCAAGGCCATCTTGAGTCCATTCAATTTGAACGATAGCCCCAAGGCTTAAAGCGTCATACCTGGCGGTGATTAGGCCCCAGTAACCTGTTGAACCCGGCTTGAGGGAAGTGTTAGCGAACTCAAAAAGAGGGAGCCCTTCGAATTATGAAGCGTGCCATATGCTGGTATTTCACCAAGGATGTACAACAGCTCTGGTTGACCAAATACTGTTGCAGTCAGGAAGAAGGCTAAAACCAATCCAGAGGCCCACCCTATCTAAAACCCTAAAATATCCTGGACCACTGATCCCCTATTTTGATCCAACCACTTCCACCCATAAACCACCCTTCCTCTTGAAATTTCTTTGGCTGCTGCCAGTCGCCTATCCAGACACCTTGCCTTCCCAAGCGAAAATTTCTACACCATCACAACTCTCACCCCGTCCTACCTCACCTACACCCGCCTCAGCCGCGTAGTCAAGCCAGCCTTCTCTGCCTAAATCCACAACTATAATTGACTCTTCCCTAACGGCTGTAGCAAACCCTTCCTCTTTAAAAAACTCCCCATCATCATCTGCCCATTTAAAATCAGTGGAAAACCAAGGAATCACCCTCCCTGAGGCCGACAAAGGCAAATATGATGTCATCAGGCACCTTAGGAAACTATCAGCCCTCTTGAGTATATATGATGCCCTCATGTTGTCTAAAGACTTTCAAATGGCTCTGGTATAAGCTCTCTCCAGCCCTGAAGTATATGAAACGGAAGTCGAACAAGTCAAGGTAGACCCTGCAATACTCAACACATGCATGGCTATCACATTCTCAAACGATGACCTACAACTGGGAGAGAAATTCCATAATGGACCTCTCTTGGTGACTGGTGAGCTACATGCTTGTCAGGTCAACCGAATCATGCTAGACGGGGTATTAGGAGGTAACCTTATGCCTCGAAGGATTCCTACATGGATTGGGTTAAGTGTGGAGCAGCTTGAACTTACGAGCCTAATGGTTCAAGGGTTTAATTAGTCTGAAGAAAAGCCAGCTGGTACCATTCATCTCAAGCTCAAAATCAAGGATTTGAACACTTCTCTATTATTCCATGGTATTCATGCAGACACCTCTTACAACATCCTATTGGGTCGTCCTTGGCTACATGAACATTGTGTAGTTCCATCCACACTTCATCAGTGTTTCAAATATAGTCGAGATGGAAGACAACACACGGCCTATGCTGACAAAAGGCCGTTTTGAGTCACAATATGCTGATGCAAAATATTATTTTGCAAACCTAATACGCTCTCAAGAGCCGAAATTGACTGTGAAAATCAATACGGACCCAAAATTGAGAGAGACTATACCAACCTCTCATGAAAATGTAGAAGACATGACAGGATCGCGTAATCATCTTTTTCAAGAAGAAAGAGATATGGAAAGATATTCCCTTTGATACCTGTTAATCGAATTTCCTCACAACCCCTGAGAGACATACTATGCTAGAAAAATGAAGGGGAAGCCTCACCCTCTTTTCCCCTTGTACGAGAATCTCTGCCAATGGAAACTTGGAGTGAGCATGGCAGAAAGGAAGCTGCAAATTTGAGCCCGCTGATACCTACAGTCACTCATGCTCATGATGGCATGAAGTTATTACATATCCCCATCCCCTTACTTGAAGCTGAGACGGCGTGCATGGCTGAAGTAAAACAAAAAGCCGACCAAAAGGTTCTACAAATTCTAGTCCCCCTAAGGGAGGAGAATGATGCTTCCTTCACTCCTCAGGCCGACTATCCCGTGAATCAACTCAAGGAGTTACAAATACCAAAAGTCCTCCACATTGAAAAGAATAGTGTGAATTGGTCTCACTTCTTTCCTATACATCGACAAGACTTCCCCAAAGTCCTACAAATCCCTGAAGTCATGCCTATCCTAGTCCTTGAGAAGGAAAAAGCTGATACCGAGCTCACAAACCAGGCTTACCACACGCGAGACTCCCAAAAGACCTTGCATTTTTCAACCCCCATATTGGAAGCTCAATTTGCTTACCAGGAAGCAAGAAGTGGTCCGTCCTCCCCCATTTGCCACTTCACTGACACCTCTGATCAGCAATATGAGCCTCAAATACAAGCCTCGATTGCAGCGCCAAAGGAATAAGAACAAGATTTGCCTGACCAAGAGGAGGCTATAAGAAAAGGAAAAGGTAAGATGAAAGAGGTTGTGCCTTTGAAATCCGTTTCTGCTCCTTTACCGGGTTTCATCCCAGAAACTCGAGAAACAGTTGTTAGGATATACCCACGAACTAATTCCCTTTTAGATGCCGGATTCATCCCAAATGGGACTTATACATCCCCGAGGCTCATCAAATCATGAGGAAAATGGACTACGAGCTGTCTAACAACCCAGGGTTGAATAACGACAAAGGAATGCTAGCGCCCTTCGCTGTCATCGAAACTACGGCGTCTCAGCATAATCAAGAGGAAGGCCTTGGTTACCCGAGGCATCCAAGCCTACCTCGTGGCCCTTCTTCACTGACTAAATTTCTCATGTGACGATGTCGCATGAGCTACTGCCGTCCCCTCGAGAATTTACTCTTGAGGAAGTCGCTTCCCGAGAACCTCTAGT